TGTAATGTATGGTGGTTAACATAACAATAAAAAAATTATTAAAAAAAAAAAAGCAAGTGTATTCTCTTCAATCTTTTGGGGGCACCTGACCTCCATGCACTGAATACCAGGGAGATGCTTGTCAATGTCTGAGAAGTAAGGGGCTTGACAGGAGACACTAGTCACAATGACATCCTCATGGAGATGTCAACAGTCGGCATGGCCCAGCAAAGCCATGGGGACTATTTGGTGTAGACAAGTGGGGAAGGGAGTGCCACCCACCCCTGTGCCTCCCCTTTCTCTCCCTCTACCCTTAGATTAGGACTCTCATGCAACTCCTTCAATCATACCACCAAAAGGGCAAAATAGCAAAACATCTGACCTAGTCAGAGCGCCTGGGTGGCTCAGTCGTTAAGCGTCTGCCTTCAGCTCAGGTCATGATCCCGGGGTCCTGGGTTCGAGCCCCGCATCGGGCTCCCTGCTCGGCGGGGAGCCTGCTTCTCCCTCTCCCACTCCCCCTGCTTGAGTTCCCTCTCTCGCTGTGTCTCTCTCTGTCAAATAAATAAATAAAATCTTAAAAAAATATATCTGACCTAGTCATTCGTGGTTGGAGGTTGAGGTGGTTCCAAAGGTCTCATCTCCTGGATTCTTCCAGCCTTGTGTCTGTGCTAAAGAAGCTGCAGCCAGGAGCCTGTGCCTTCTGCCTTTCTGTCCTTGAGCCACTCTGGGCTCGCTCTTCTCTGCCTGCTGACTCAGTGTCTGCCCACACACTCAGCAAGCATGGAGGTGCAAAGCCCCTACTGTGTGCTGACCCCGAGCAAGTCACTGGGAATTGAAGGATGAGAAAGGAAGGCTAGGGTGAGGTAGGTGAGGCAGGTGGCAGAGACTGGGGCAATCCAGGAAGCAGATTTGCAGGGGCCAATTTACAGGGCTGGGAAATCCTAGGGGATTTTGGGGGAGACCCTAGAAACAGTCTGCCGTGACTGGAGTCCAAGATGGGAGACGTGGTGACACAGCACGAGCCCAAGATTGGCAAGAAGCAAGAGAACAGGAAAAGCCTCGTCCCCCAGGACTGCGAGCCTGACTTTACGTTGTAGGGGATGGGGGACCTCCGAAGGGTTTAAAGCATGGCTGTGACATTGTCAGGTTTGACTTTGAAATAGCTCCCCTGGCCTTTCTCATATGTCCCCTCATTTCTATATTTTTTTGACTCTAAAGCGACATGTGATTATTGTGGTGAACTCTGAAAAGAGGAAATGTTTGTGAGCCGACATTTACACATTCACTGCAGGCCTGAGGCAGGTCGGTCTGCAGGTGACAATTATGGCTCTTTCTCTACCGGCGTCCTTGCTTGTGCTTGGTCTTTTCACAGGTAAGTCTATCCCTGCCGCTACCTCCCAGGCACCTCTACCTTCCTGCACATTTCTGGGAGCCAGGCTGTGTGTGTGTGTGTGTGTGTGTGTGTCGCACCTGCTACCATCTCAGACCATGCAGGCCCATACAGTGTCCTTGTCACTCTCACAATTCTTCTGCTAATGAGTCACAGGGAGCCCTGGGCATCCCCACACAGGCTGATGGTGGAGGCATGAGATCCAGGACCTGCCCCATCTGCATCTTGCCGTTTCAATCATGATCCTCTAAGGTCTGTTTGCCTCTCCTCCCTCTCCCACCAGCCCCCGGGGGTGACCCTTCATCATGAATTGGGCTTTCTGTGTCCCATAAATGACCTCAGTAGGGGATGGCACTTAGCAGCTGTTTCTGTCCCTCTAGATTCTTACTGCTTGCTCCTGTACCCCGACGACCTGAGCGGTGGCAAGAGACAGGCTTGGGAACCAGTCAGGGGAGCGAAGCGTTTGAGAAATCTGCATAAGGGGCCGGGCTCTGATCTTGCTCTCCAGAGTTTCAAGCTTTCGCTTTCATTCTCCTTCAGGGGAAAACCAGTGTGTGTGATTACAAAGATCACCTGCCTCAGGACTGTCCCCTTAGGGGGTCCCCTAAGCCTGCTGACGAATCCCTTGATACATTTAAAACTTGGCTGTGAAGGGAAGGAAAAATTCTTCTCCACCCTCAAGGTCTCCTACCTGAACTAAGAACTAAATTTATGTGAGACAGATTAACAGGAGAAAAAAAAAAAAACCCAAAGTTTTATGACGTGTGCATGGAGGCCCAATAATGAAATTGAGACCTAAAAAAATGACCGAGGAAGCAGTTTTTGTACTTTTTAAACAAAGAGACAATAAATCTGTGAGGAATTGACAGGACAAAGAAAACTTAACTTTGGGAGCTTTAATTAGTAGGGAGTTCTAAACAGACTTTGGGCTGGGGGAGTGAATCAGTAAAAAAAAAAAAAAGGTGACAAGGGTTGTTTGTAAGTGTTCTCGGCTCTAAATTTCCCACCTGTGGTGATCAGGATACTCTTTACCTCCTGGTCCAGCCGGGTTGCCTTTCACACGGGAGATTTGTTTCCTGCTTTCAGGGGACAGAGGAGGGTCTGAGTGTCCTTGTGCTTACTGGCTCTTAAGTAACTTATTTAAATAATCAATATGCCCAAGTGGCCCATCTTGGGGTGGCCTGCCCTTGGCCCCTATCACAGTTTATAAAGAACCTTTACTTAAGTTAAAAAAAAAAAAAACAAAAAAAACCTCTGATCCCCACATCAGACTTGTGATATAGATAAGGCAGACAGGATTACACACATTTTATGGATGGTGGACAGAGGCTCAGGGAGATTAGGGGACATTTTCTGGTGCATGGCTGGTAATCCGCCTGGCCGGCTGTGGGAACGCAGCGGCGCCGTGGAAACTCAGAGGACATTGTCCTCGGCCAAGGCAGCAGAACTGGTGGGGAGATTCCTGCAGGGTCCCCCTCACCTCCACTATCCTTCCTCACACAGTGCAAGCTCATCTGCGAACTTGTCTCTCTCCATGGCGTCCAGGCCAGGCCCTCGGTGGTCCCTGCCCACAGGGGCATCTCCCGGGCATATGGCCAAACAATGGGTAAGACAGGTCCTGCCTTAAAAAATGTTCACAGTTCTTCAGTTCAGTTCTGGAAACATCTACTGGGGCTCTTGTGTGCCGGGTCATGTGCTGGGTGTGTGGTGGGACGGGATCTCAACAGGTCCCGGGGAGGAATTAAATATGATGAAAGCCCGTTGCCAGCCGCACAGCGTCTCTGACAGAGGACCAGCTTTGGGGTCAGGTGAACTTGGATCCTCACGTGGACTCTGCTGCTTCCAAGCTGGTGACTTTGGGCAAGTTTCTTAAGCTCTTTGTGTCTCATGATCTTTATCTTTTAAGTGGGAAGAAGAACACCCACCTTACAAGTTTGTTGGGAAGTTAGATAGGATGATGTGTTTACCCTACTTGGCGCGGTGCCTGGCATTTGGGATTCGTGTCCTGACCAGATCCCTGTGTGTCTCTCCTCACTTGAATCCAGAATCAGGATTCGGACCACGAAGTTCCACACACGCCCACGGCAGCTAACCCTGAGGCTAATGCACCGGCCTGCCCTCCTCACTCCGATATTAATTCCCTTCCATCTTCTCCCCTTCGTGAGCTTGTGAGCCAAGTGGAAAGACACGCACACAGCATCTGTATGAATCAGGGTGAAGTAAATGCTTAAAACCAAATAAGCACAGGCTGGAGGAAACCAGGCGGGAGCCGGGGGGGGGGGGGGGGGGGCTTGGCTGGACCAGGGGCAGGGAGCCCAGCGCAGGAGCAGCGCTTGAATTAGCCTGATGAGCTACTACGTTGGAGGGTGCAGGGAGGAGCCATGCGGTTCAGTCGCGGTGGGGTCCTCCGGCTGGATTTCAGGCCCTGGGCCCAGTGTGGGGCGAGGAGGGTGCAGCTGATGCCAACACCTTCCGCCTCGGTATGCTTCCTTCGGCACGCATGACGCTCTGGGTGGAGCCAAGGTAGCTCCACAGAAGTGGACACCAGGCTCTCGAGTGCATTCTGCGGTGGGTGCACAGGACACCGGCCTGCCCCCAGCTTGGGGTGCCTGATCCCACGGGACAGCAACCCCTCTCCCACCCCTCGTCCCCACAGCTACTGTCACAGGACTTCTCGGGTCAACTTTTGACAAAGAGACTCACCACCTGGCCTGGAAACTGTGTTGCGGCTGGCGCTTCTGCATCCCATTCTGAATCAGGACGCAGATTCTTCCCTGAGCCAGGCAGCCTTTTCTTTCTAAACCACTGTGCAGCACACCTGGGTCAGTTTCAGACTTTCTGTTTCCTGGGACGGCATGTCAGTGTTGCAGATGTACTCCAACGGTCACACTATTGAGTGCTGGTCTCTTTGCATTTCTCGACAAGGGTGCTGGCTGGTTTTGGTGAGGATGCAAACAAGGTGCAGCCACCGAGTTGTCCCAGCGACATCAAGAATCTTTAATAACACCAACAGTGAGGCACTTACTTGCATTATCTCATTTCACCCTCACAAAATCCTGGAAGATGGCACGCACTCCCTGTTTCACAGGTGAGAAAGCCAGGACTCAAAGGGCATAAGTTGCCTCCCAAGGTCACACAGCTGGTACCTAGCAAGTGTCGGAACTCGGGTGGTCTGATTGGTGCGCTGGTGCTTCTGTTCTTCTCCCAAGTAGTCTGGTACTGAATGACTGTCTCCTGACTACCCTTCAACTTGCTTGGCCAGCCCAGCACTAGCCTTCCTTCTAGAAAGATGTTCCCAGAAGCCAGGCGGAGCCTCAGAGCTGGCTTCTGTTCAGCCGTGTCTGAACAAGCGATTATGGGGAATGCTACAAGGTGGTTCCTGCTGCGGTGGGGCTGGGTTAAGTGAGTTCTGATCCTATTGCCTGGATCAGCAAGAGGGTGGCTCAGAGTCACAGCAGAGATCGTCCCCCCAGGCACCTCCCGAGAATTTTCCTTTCTCTCCCTTCCACTCAGCATCTGCAACCCTAGCGCAGCATCTATTAATTATTGTATCATATGTGAATTAGTTGATGTGAAGGCTGAAGAAGACCACTTTGGCATAAAGGGAGGAGGCTGACTTGTGTTCCTGTTCTCCCACCAACTAGCTATGTGGTCTGGAGCAAGCCACCTAATTTCTTTGGGTCTCTGTTTTCTCATCTATAAAATGGGAATAATAATCACTTACCTGAACGCTCTCAGGCCTGTTGTGAGCCTCTGGCTTAGTCAGGCTGCCCCTGAGGTTTCCGATCTGTGTCTTTGCAGGGACAGGGGTTTCCGGAGAGGACCCAGACCCTGTGAGGGTAACTGGGACCCTAGGGGGGTCTGTCACTCTGCCCCTGCAGCTACAGGCTGGAGAGCCGGTGGAGAGCATCTCTTGGATATCCCGTTCCGTCTCCATGGCCATAGCCATTGTAACCTTGGCAGAAGCAGGAGGGCCAGACACCTTTTATGAGGCAGAGACCCGGTACCGGGGTCGTGTGAGTGTGGTGGGCCCAGGCCACTCCCTGCAGTTCAGCAACCTAAGCTGGAAGGATGCGGGGCCCTACCGAGCCCACATGAACCTGAGGAGCTCCCGCATCACCCGCACCCGGGAGTACCAACTGCAAGTCTATGGTGAGCGTCCTGCGGGCGGGCAGCAATGGGTGTGGGGCGGTGCTCATCTTTCAGGCTTTCTCACAGCCTTTTCCACATCTCGTTTAGTAACATTTACACTTTTTCTGATTACAAGGCTAATATGTGCTCACTATAAAAAAAACACAACAAACCATGTAAAGCAGAGTTGCCTGGGAAAGTCTCCTGAACAACGACAAGGCCCAGGACGTGCCCCAGGCCAATGGCAGCAGAACCCCCGGGTGTGTAGTGCGCAGAGAATGGGGACTTCAGCCCCAAGAACTCAGTTGTGCTACTTGAGTGCTCTTGAGCTTCCCCGATGCTAAAATAGGAACACTCCCATCTGGTGAGAATAAGCTCCTGAGAAAGAGCACTGGGACACTCTGGACAGAGGTACAGGAGTATACAGGAATATTGCTTAAAGATACTTAAAAATTGTTTCAGGAGGGAAAACTGCAACGAAGGCATAGGGGCAGGTGGCAGGTACCCCAGCAGCAAGGAGGGCGGGCTGATTCAGCCTGTAGAGATACCACAAGCCGATTGTAGATTCAGACCGCTTATTACTCGTATAGAGTATGAAAGAGTAACCCAGATCCCTCACACCAGAAAGAATGACAAAAGGGGCCAGTTGACCACAATGCAGGTGCTGGAAACCCTGTAGCCAGAGAAGCAGTTCTAGACTGCTGTGAGGGGGCAGGGTCTGCAGCTCTGTTCTGAGCAGGGGGAGCCGGAAGCTCGTTCCTCATGAGACACTGACTCACCAGTGCCTCCCAGGGGAGAAAGCGAGGTCAGCAGAGATGGTTTCAGGGTCTCACAGGCCACCACCCTCTTGTGTTCTGGGAGGATCACAGGGCACTTTGCCAAGACTCAGATCAGCTGTGGTTCCAGGCTTTGCCTGAGGGACCTGAGGGACCTGGCTGAGGTGCTCCCCCACACTGGGAAGCAAAAAGGTACAGTTATGCATGAGGATGAACATGGGGAAGTGAACTGATGGAGGGAAAGCAGAGAAGCTTTTCAGGCTTGAGTCATGTTATAGGAAATATTCCTATTTGATGAGGCATTTTTTTTTCTTCCTGGGGAGAGAGCGTTTCTGCCATACATCAAGCCTGGCCTGGCCATGGCCTGTTCGCAGACAGCTCGAGGGCACACCGGGGCTTCTGGGACCTCGGTGGGACTGTTCCCTAGGGTGGTCCAGGGCTGCGGGGAGAGCCCCTCTCCCTCTGCTCCAGTGGAGCGGCTACAGCGAAGTAACAGGCCAGCCTTTTGTTCTTCTCAGGGAGTTCCCCAAGTCACTGGAGCCTCACGACAGCCCTGCAGCAGGCAGCAGAGGGGTTTTTCTTGCTGGGCTGCTGAAACTAGTCTCAGAGAGAAGTAACACAGAGGTAGAGGTGGTAGAGACGGGAATAGAACTCAGGCACCTCGATGCCACATCCTGTGTGTCTGGTTTGTCACTGCATTTACGGGCTTGAGCTAGAGAGGATGCTGAGGGGAAAAGGGCATGCGGAAGGAGTCATGGGGGGAGGGTTTGGGGTCTGGAAGACCACACCGGGGGAGGCAGCAGAAAGTTACCTAGCCTGCCTTCCCCCTGGGGGACATTCTGGGCCGTGGGCTCCTATTTTTGCCCAGTTGAGCTGCCGCTGGGGCTGCCGTCAGGTGGGCCCCAGGGCTGAGGCCGAGTAACAGAGGCCTTCTCCCATACCCTGTGGCTTTGTTGAGCCTGCCCTGACTAACCACTCTCTTAGCTTCTCTTCCTGCCACTCCCCAACCCCCTGGCTCTGGCCTGGGGACACAGGAGGGCAAATAATGGCAACGTGGAAACCTTAAGGAAGCATCTGAGCTCCTGGTCCTGGGGGGAAAGGGGGTGGGGTGCAGGTTGAAGGGAGTACACGGGAGTGGAAGAACCCTCAAAGGCCAAGGGCCAAATCTTCTGGGAGCCTCGACCGGCACCTGGACGCTCGGACATTCGGAAGCTCGATGTGTACTGCAGAGACCCCTCCTGGAGAGAGATGTAATTACAACACAGTTCTGTGTGGGTGCGCACACGCCGCCTTCATGTGGTCAGTGCTGGGGTGGGAACCCAGGCTTTGGGGTCAGATCCACTGGATTTGGGTCTTGGAATCATCATGTAATAGCCGAGACTCTGGGCAAGTTACTTGAAGCTCCCCGAGCCTGTTAAACGGAGTAGGTGCAAAACCTCTGCCATCTACTTCATAGGGTGGTTCTGGGAATCAAATGATGCTACATGGCAGGGCCTCGTAGAGCCCAAAGCTCTCGAATAGATGTGGGCAGATTCTGCCTCTGTTTCTCCTTGTGTGTACTGAGGATGATTCAGGGTCTTGGCACCAATGCCCTGTGCCTTCTGCCCTGTGAAGGGAGGGCCCAGGGCAGTTCTGCAGTCTTCGGTTGGTTCATTTTGTGCCCACAGAGCAGCTGGCCCGGCCCCGTGTCACACTGAGCTCCAGGATCGGTGAGAGTGGACACCGTATCTTCATCCTGACGTGTGAGGCCGGAAGCAGAGGAGGCTCTGTGACCCACAGCTGGCTACCTCTGGGACCCCGGACTGTTGTGTCCCGTGGAGGATCTGTCCTCAGTGTCTCCTCAAGGCTCGGGGACAGGGCTCTGAACTTCACCTGCGTGGTCAAGAACCCAGTCAGTAACAGCAGCTCCCTCCCTGTCTCCGTGCCGTCATGTCCAGGTACCCGGAACCTGAGCGTGCATCGTGCACTGCGGCTCTGAAGTGGGCAGAGGTGGAGGGCAGAGTCCCCTTCAGGCCCCGGGGAGAACACCCTTGAGAGAGTGGCATGGGCAGGTGGGGGCAGTGCATTCGGGGGAGAGGGCACTGGAACCAGTGTGGAGGCTGGAGGGGTTTGGGCAGGAGGAGCTTGATGGGGCCTGGGTGGCCCTGAGTGCGTAGGGGTGGCCCTGAGTGCGTAGGGGTGGCCCTGAGTGCGTAGGGGAGACCCTGGCACTGAAGCTGTAGTTTTCTGTCTGTAGGGCCAGGAATCCTGGAAGGGGACACGGTGGGGGAGACAGTGACCGGTCTCCTCGGGGACTTGGCCATTCTGCCCCTGGAGGTCCCGGCCGGGCAGGAAGTGGAAAAGGTCACCTGGAGCTCTGGAGAGCTTGTTGCCATTATGCAAGTGGGGCCAGGAGGCGAACTTGTCCTGGCTGCCGGGACTCAGGCACCATACAGCAGACGGTGGAGTGCCCTCCACCCCGGCTACTCTCTTCAGATCAGGCCCCTGAGGCTGCAGGACTCTGGCCTCTACAGAGCCTGGATCACCCTGCATAGTCCCTCGATCAACATCACCAAGGATTTCACCCTGCGTGTCTACGGTGAGGGAGGGGGTGGAAGGCTCATGTTTGAACTTTGACCTTTCCTCTCTCCCCTGCTTGGCCAGACCAGAGTCTTCTCAGAGCTCGAACTTTCCTTTCTTGCACAGAGAAGCTGCAGGAGCCCAATATCACTGTCAGCTCCTGGATCACGAAGGATGGGGCCTGTTACATCACCCTGATCTGCTCCCTGCGACAGGCCAGAGAGGATGTTCAGTACAGATGGGCACCCCTCGGCCAGGGGGCAGTTATGTCCCATGGGGGAACCACTCTTCGTGTCTCCTGGAGACCCGGGGTCAGCGACAGCTATCGCTGCACGGCCAGCAACCTGGTCAGCCAGAGCTTCAGCTCCATACCCATCAGGCCCCTCTGCTCAGGTAACCCTTTCCTTGTGTGGGCCCCCTCCCTGGCAGCCTTGGTCCAGGAGCTCAGCATCCCCACCTGCCGCCCTCCTGGTTCTAGGGGTGGTGGAAGAAAAGGAGGGCAGGATCGTCTGCAGCAGGGCTGTCTCTGGGGGGCAGGAAATGAGGGCTCTGGGGCCATCCTCCCAGGGCCGTGCTGTCCAGCTTCCGACGGTCAGCCCCAGACTTGGTGCCTGGGCTCCCGGCTTACTCTTGGGACTCCCCGAGGGAAAATGCGTCCCTCAGCCCACACAGTCCTGCAGAGCCCACTGAGGAGGCATCCCACACGTCCTTGGCCATGTCCTCAGCGAAGCCTGGAGCTGCCGTGAGACAGAAATCCCAGGCTGTGCTCCTCCGGTGTCACGGGCGGCCCCTCCTGGGTTCCATAGGCCGTGGCAGGACACTGCCTCAGTCCAGACTCACTATGTCCCTTTCCTCTTCTCGGCCAACTTCTGAACATCTCTCCACTCCCTGTTCCTGGTTCCTTACCAACCACTTGCTCTTTGACCCTCTGTGCCTGCTCTGTCCCCAGCCGCGTCATTATTGCTAAGTCCAGGGGCCACTCCTCACTTGAGTTGTCCTTAGCACGCTCTCCTCGGGGTCCTGGGCTGCTGGGTCCCAGGGGGGCTTCTTTTGTATCACAGTCCTTAAGGGTCCTGCCCAGGCCTTCTGTTGCCCGGGGCAGAAAGCTGGCTGTCATTCAGAACCCTAGTTTTCCACTGCTACTTGCCCAGGTGCTCACACCTCCCAGGAATATCCCACTCTCTCCCTTTTGCGGATCATCCTGCTGATCACGCTGCTAGGGGGTGAGTTCTGAAAGAAAGAAATGCTCGGGTTACTTTTCTGCTTAAAATCTTGTGGTGTCTGCCCGCTATCAAGTGTATAACTGTATGATCCCCTCTTCATTCATTTAAGCAACTCCTGTTTACGAGCATTTATCATTATTATTGTTATTTTAATTGAAATATAGTTAACATATAATATTAGTTCCAGGTGTATAACATAGCGATTCAACATTTATATCCATCACGAAATGCTCACCATGATATGTGCGGCCACCATCTGTCTCATGCATAATTACAATATCATCGACTGTATTTCCTATGCTGTACTTTTCATCCTCACGGCTTATTTATCTCATTCCTTGATGTTCTTTTTTTTTTTAATTTTTTAATTGTTATGTTAACCACCATACATTACATCATTAGTCTTTGATGTAGTGTTCCATGATTCATTGTTTGTGCATAACACCCAGTGCTCCGTGCAGAACGTGCCCTCTTTAATACCCATCACCAGGCTAACCCATCCCCCCGCCCCCCTCCCCTCTAGAACCCTCAGTTTGTTTTTCAGAGTCCATCGTCTCTCATGTATCTCATTCCTTGAAAGAGCATTTTATAACCTTACAGAGAGAGAGCGTGCCTTCGTGCAAGTGGGGGGTGGGAGGAGCAGAGAGAGAGAGAGAAAATCTTAAGCAGGCTCCACGATCAGTGTGCAGACCAATGTAGGGCTTGATCCCCTGACCCTGAGATCATGACCGGAGCCAAAATCAGGAGTCAGATGCTTAACTGATTAACCACCCAGGCACCCCTTACAGAGCACTTTTTTAAAAGATTTTATTTATTTGTCAGAGAGAGAGAGAGCATGCACAGGTGGGGGAAAAGGGGAGAGGGAGAAGCAGACTCCCCACTGAGCAGGGAGCCCAATGTGGGGCTTGATCCTGGGATCATGACCTGAGCTGAAGGCAGACGCTTAACCGACTGAGCTACCCAGGTGCCCCCAGAGCATTTTTTAAAAAGATTTTATTTGTAAGTCATCTCTATGCCCAACGTGGCGCTTGAACCCACAGCCCTGAGATCGAGAGTTGCGTGTTCCACCAACTGAGCCAACCAGGTGCCCCCAGAGCATTTTTAAGGTGCCTTGTGTTGTTCTAGGCGTTGAGGATAGAGTGAAGAAGAGGTCTGGATAAGTTGCCACCCCTCAGGGAACTCAGTCACAATCGTCACAATCTGCAGCTAAGCCTACTAAATGATTAGAGGGGGTATGGAGCATGTTGTATTAGGGCCTTCATCTGTGTCTGTTTTACCCATGGAACAAGACCAAAGCCCATTTTCGTCTTCTCTGCATCGCCAGTACACAGCATGGAATAGGCATGAAAATTGTGAATCTGACAGTTATTCTGGGAACAGCCTGTGCTGGGGGTAACGGGGCACAAGGAAACATGGTAATTGGCTGCGGACACTAACGTTCTCCCTGCCCCTCAATGGGGTCCAGAGGGCAGTTCACCTCTACCCCCTAGATTCAGTTTCCTTACGGGGCCTCCAGCCCACTCACTCTTCCGAATTCTCTTCTTGGAAATCCTTCCCCCTGCCTGCCTGCCTTCCCTTTCTTCTCTTCCCCGCCTTTTACCCCAGTTCCTAACCTGTGGTCATTATTTCATTCCAGCCTCCTTCTTACCCTGCTCCTTGAAGAAAGAATTTCTTCTTTTTTTGATCCTGGGAGCTTTGCAGATTGAATAGATTGACTTTGACAAGTGGAGAAGCCAAGAGGAGGAATGTGACAGGGGTCACCTTGCGGCACACAGAGATGAAGAATTCTGTACCTGGGCACCACCTGCCAATCTTGGCGAGAGAGGGACATCAATCCCTATTAAGGCATAAAACCTATTTCATTTGCAAACAGTTCAAAATCGCCAAGAAACTGCTACATACCTTCTGTTTAAAATAACCTGATTATGTTTTATTTAATCATGTTTTAAAGTGTTCAGAAAGAAAAGAGGGCTTATTCATATAAGAAAAATTGCTCATTTGTAGGGCCCCTGGGTGGCTCAGTCGGTTAAGTGTCTACCTTCAGCTCAGGTCATGATCCCAGAGCCCTGCTCTGCGGGGGAGCCTGCTTCTCCCTCTCCCTCTGCCTGCCGCTCCCCCTGCTTATGCTCTCTCTCTCTCTCTCTCTGTTAAATAAATAAAATCTTAAAAAAAAAAAAGAAAAGTGGCACGTTTGAAACATAAGAAGGTTTGTGAGGTGATTAAGTGTTATGAACATATGTATTCATATTCTGTTAACATTGAAGTACATGGGCTAAGAGGGCCCAGATTGAACTTAAATTTCTTCTCCTTGGAGCAGCCTTTTGACCACCTTATTTACGCAAATCTTTCCTCTTATTCATAATCATTTTACCCAGGTCAATTTTGTCAAATTATCACAATTTGTAACTATATATTTATTTGTTGGATTTTTTTTTTTCTTACCTTCTGTCTCCCCCACAAGATATTTAGCTCCATGAGGACAAGAGCTCTATCTGTTTAGTTTACAACATAAATTCGGATGGCAATAGAGTGCTTGGCTTATGGTAGATATTTCAATATTTTTTGAATGAATAACTAATGGATGAGAGTTGAGAACATTTTTTCTTAAAGATCTGAGAACTATCAGATTTCATAATAATTTGGGATCTATAACGTTTGTGCGTGCGTGCGTGCGTGTGTGTGTGTGTGTGTGTGTGGTTTCTTTCTGTTTTTAATAGAGGAGGAAGGAAATGGAATTCTTATCTTGAAATTTCTGGTGTCAGGCCATCCCCCAGGCAGCTGCTTTGGCACTCAGATTATGCTGAGCTCAAAACAGTCAAGACCCAAAAGACTCAGGGACGAAGAAGCTTTGACAAGCCCCAGCCACAAGAATTTAGACAGAGGACCAGCTCCAGGAAGACGAACATAGATAACTACACTGTAATATGAACTAGAGGTGGCAGACAGGGAGGAACTTAGCAAATTCTGTTAAAATTCCTCTCTATGTTCCATTTTTCTGTATGGCCCAGCAAACACTTATTCTTACCATTTACTCTTTTTCATCTTCCTGGGAATTGACTTCCTTCCCTTTGAAGTCCTAGGCCCCTATCCCCTTCTCCTTATTTCAAGATGACATAGATACCCCATTTTGCCGGACTGTCTTTGGAATTTCCACGAATGTGGATTTAATTTGTACAAAATTAAATCTGATTTTCTCCTGTTAATCTGTCTTGTGTCAGTTTGATTCTTAGTCCAGCTAGAAGGATCTTGAAGAGCAGAGGAAATTCTTCTTCCCAACATCTTCTAAGTAGTTTGCTTGACCCTCTGTAATGGGTTTCTCCCACCGCAGTCACTGAAATTTTAAAAGCACAACTCCTCTGGTCCAGACAACTGATTTTCTTCCTTTCGGGCCTCACCATGTCCAGAGTCTTTGCACAGGCTCTGCCCTCTGATTAAGCTCTCCTTTCCTGTAAGGAGCTCCTACTCACCTGTAGATCTCTGCTCAATCATCACTGTGTGGGAGAAGCCTTCCCTGATCCTGGCAACAGCCCCCATTATAGGTTACCCTTACACCATGTGTCTTTTTTTTTTTTTTTTTTTTGTAATTGTAAGTCTGGGCCTGCCATACTTCTGACCAACCCAGTATAGTCTAAGGGCTCCACAACTCTCTCCTGGGGGTCAATAATTTGCTAAAATGCCTCATAGAACTAAGGAAAAACAGTTTACCTACTACATTACTGGTTTATTATAAAAGGAAACATCTCAGGAATAGTCAAATGGAAGAAATGGACAGGGCAAAGTATATAGGAAGGGGTCTGGAACTTCTATGCCCTTTCCAGGTATACCACCCTCCTAGCACCTTCATGGGCTCACCAATCTGGAAGCTCTCTGAACCCCTCTGGTTGGGGTCTTTTTATGAAGGTATCATTATGTGGGCATGATTGATTCATCATTGGACATTGGTGACAGAACTTTATCTCCAGCCTCTCTCCCACCCCTGGATGTTGGGGGTAGGAGGTAGGGAATTTGGGGAAAATAGGGCTGAAGTTCCAACCCTCTAATCATTTTGTTGGTTCTCCTGGCAACCAGCCCACCTGTCACCTCATTAGCATACAAAAAGATACTTATCTCTTTGAAGATGCCAGGGATTTTAGGAGCTGTGTAGAAGGAAACTGGGAGGAAAACCAAATCTATATTTATTATTATCTCTCAATATCACAGCCTCTCTCATTAGAATTAAGCACCCCAAGGACAGAGACCTCTGGTCACTGCTCTGTTTTCTGTGTTCAGCACAGTGTCTGGTACTTAGTGGTGCTCAATAAATCTTGCTGAATGAGTAAGTAATGAATGTGAGCATGGTTGAGTGAATACCTGCCTGACATGGTACAGACACCTTCTTTTCTCCCCCACCAAAGATTCTGTATTTATGAGCTGTATTAGCAACTCATAAACCCCAAACCACACAGCTTTGGGTGCTGCATTTGATGGATCTTGATGTGAAATGTGGTTTCTTGCCCTAACAAGCTGGTGGTTTCCTTTACCTGCTGGTTGAGTTCATGAGGTGAAGGCTTTTTCTGCACATGGATTTGGGAAAGTTCTTACTGAGAGCCCAGACTCCAGATCTGTTGGGGTATTCCTGGGCTTGATTTTGTCACTGGTTTAAAAAGAGGGAAGGGGAGCTAATTCTAATTATTTCACCATTTGGACTGGCTTAAAGGAGGGGGGGTGGGGCAGAGATTCATTCTAAACCCTGGCAGTTGTTAGTCTCCCCTCCAAATCTTTGTCTGCTCTGAAGCTCCCCCAACCTCAAACCACCCACTCTGAGGCAGACTAATCTTTTCCTCTGATCATCACGTTCTAGGGGCTTCTCTCTTCTTCCCACCTCATTCTCACTTGGAGGAGGCACTTTCCGTCCTCCCCCACTGCACGCCTCCTACCCCCAAGATGAGGGTGTCTCAGAATTTCCTCTGAACTCCTCACAGTGGGTCACACCTCTTTATACTCACTGAACACTTATTTAAAATTTCTTCCACTCCATTATGTAATACATTCTTTCTCATTAAAGAACTTTTGGAAAATTAAGACAAGCAGAAGAAAACCAAGCCACTTAAGATATCACCTGCCCTGCAAAACCCAGCATTAATATTTTGATATTTTTTCTTCTAAGGTTTTCCTTGCATTGGTGTTTTTAAAATGTAGTTGTAATCATACAGCACATTAAATTTCACTTTCTACTTTCCTTCACTTGTGATATTGTAGAGGAGGGAAAATAATCTTCCCTATACCTTTCTAGATTCTGTGGCTGAGACCCTCCACCTCCCGTAACAAAAGATTAACAAGAGAAAAAAAAAAAAAACCCACAAGTTTAATAACATGTATACCTCCTGTATACATGGGAGATACCCAGGAAACTGAGTAAAACTCCCCCAAATGGCCCAAGCCACCATCTTAAATACCATCTTCAGCTAAAGGCAAAAGAAAGATGTTTTGAGGGGGAAGCTTTTTATGGGAAGTTATCAGGAAAAGTACAACAAAGGTGTAGTTGTCATGTAGATTTAAGTTGGTGCCTCCTCCACTGATAAGATTCTTTTGTAATTCAGAGTCATCCTTCTCTTTCTGGTATAGGAGGGAGACACCTGTACATTGGAGATTTCCTTTGTAAATGTAATTGTCCCTTACAAAAGGGACAAAGGATCTTCTCCTGCATCTGTTGTTTCTTTAAAATAATCAACTGAACATAATCTTTATGCTTAAGAGGCGTATTTTGGGGTGGCACACTCAACTACCCTTCAAAGTCATTACATTTTCTAACTTTATAACCCATAATTCCTAATGTCTGTGTTCACTTCACCTTCCCCTGTGGTTAGAGTCTTAGGTAGTTTCCAGAATATCACTATAACAAATGGCAAAATAATGCATATTTTTGTATGTAAATCTCACAGTATCTTTTTGAGACAATATGATTCTCAATCCCATTCTTGCCCAGGAAGCATTGTTTTTAAGTTCTTTCATCATGGAGGAAAATAAATTCCCATTTCTCCCACTCTTCCTGCCCCCTTTGCTATGAGTCAGTGTTGAGATAAATTTCTAGGTCCAACATGGACCACTTCTGTCAAAGGTGCCATGTAAGCAAACCGAAACTTGGATGACTTTTGTGTTCCTGCAAATGCTCTGTTTGATCAGAAACCCAGTGGTATTTCCAGTCAACTAATCTCCAAATGCCAAGCCAACTTGGGATCTTTTCACTCCAAATGAGTCTGATTTTGTGGCTCTAGTTCTTCAGATATTTTCTATTTTTCTCTTCCTCATTCTTTATTCTTTATATTATAAAGTCTTCCAGGCTTCTGCCCCATTTTGCACATCTCCAAATGGAGACTGCTCACTTCATTAAGTGTTTAATAAAGTTTGTTTGTATTACCTACTTTTTGTTAATCATTTTTTAACACCATTGAAGGGGAGCAGAATATACCACCCCAAAATATATCACCCACACTTTGGCATGTGGATTATTTTGAACTGAAGTCAATCAAGACCCAGCAGACTCAGAAAAAGCTTTTTGCCTCACCATTAATTACCTAATAAAATTTAGAAAGGAGGCCTGTACCAGAAAGAAGGCCACTACCAGAGGTAACGTTTTCATCTGAGAGATTATCTGCATGGCAGGGCAAACACTGTATACAAAACATTTGTTCTTCTCATCCTCCTGTGAATCGTCTTCCTCCCCTTTGAAACCTCAGACCCCTACCCCTTTCCTTAGCTCAGGATGGTATGAAAGCCTCAGTGGCTTGACTATTTTTTATTTTAATATTTTATTTATTTGACAGAGAGAGACACAGCGAGAGAGGGAACACAAGCAGGGAGAGTGGGAGGGGGAGAAGCAGGCTTCCCGCGGAGCAGGTAGCCCGATGTGGGGCTCGATCCCAGGACCCTGGGATCATGACCTGAGCCGAAGGCAGACACTTAATGACTGAGCCACCCAGGCGCCCCTGCTTGACTGATTTTGAGTCTCATATTTTTTATGGGGCTCTCATACATATGAAATCAAATTTTTTCACCTGTTAATCTGTCTTTTGTCAATCTAATTATTATACCAGCCAAAGAACCTAGAAAGGAAGAAGGGATAATTTCTCCTCCCCTACACCAGACACCTCTCTTTTAAGGGCTGATTCTTCATTTTAATGCTTCTGGATCTTATGCTAAGTTGACTTGTGGGAAGGTAACCATTTTTTTTTCTGTATTATTCCCTTTCTTAAGCATCATGAGCCATATATGAAACTTCTACTACATATCATGCACTTACACTTGTTTCATATAATCCCGCATTGCAAGCCCTATAGGGGTTTTAGAAATAAGAAAACAGGGGCTCACAGAACCCAAGTCTTTGGCAAAGGTCACTCTGCTAGTAAGGGCTTTTGACTCCAGGCCTGCTTGTCTCCAAAACTATGTCCTTTCCTCCATGATACACTTGGAAAGAGGGGGATCCACCCATCTCAAGCTTTGAGCTCCCATCTTCCTTACCCTCTGTGGTGGATGATGGGTGGTAGAATGGGCACTGCTTTTTTTTCTAGCTTTGGTCACATACTGAAGTTTCTCTTTGCTTCAATTTCAACATTTGTAGAATGGACATAAGTACCCCAGACCAGCTTGCCTCATGGGAGTCATGTGAGGCATGTGAAGTATGGGGCTCTCATACATATGAAATCAAATTTTTTCACCTGTTAATCTGTCTTTTTGTCAATCTAATTATTATACCAGCCAAAGAACCTAGAAAGGAAGAAGGGACAGTTTCTCCTCCCCTACACCAGTCATCTCTCTTTTAAGGGCTGAGTCTTCATTTTTTATGTAATGAAAAACTTTACTTTGCATGAAAGCAACCAGCTCCTTGCAAGAGGTTGTGAGATGTGGATAGCAGTGGGAGAAGGGTGTCTTAGAAAACTCACCTGTTTTGGGGAGGTTCACCTTTCTCAGGAAATCTCCACCCTCCTAGCCAATTGTGCCCTGTTTCCCTGTTGCCCCTTCTAATGCTCTGTAAAACTTGGTCTTGCCCGAAACCCTTTGAGAAGACTACTCCACTGCTTCTGAGTCACTGTGCTCCCCCAATCCATAGGTTACTTTCTTTTGAATAAAGGACTTCAAACAAAACTGTTTTAGCTTTGTCATTTGACAGTTTACACCCCTCAGACCTGGGGCATCAGATCCCTTCCCAATATCTTCATTCAAGATGTGTCCAGAAAGGGCGTCTGGGTGGCTCAGTTGGTTAAGCGACTGCCTTCGGCTCAGGTCATGATCCTGGAGTCCCGGGATCGAGTCCCACATCGGGCTCCCTGCTCGGCAGGGAGTCTGCTTCTCCCTCTGACCCTCTTCCCTCTCGTGCTCTCTATCTCTCTCATTCTCTCTCTCTCAAATAAATAAATAATTTTAAAAAAAAAAAAAGATGTGTCCAGAAACATATCAAAAGCAACCATCCTCCGGCCCATGTTTTTCATTTCATTAAAAAGGTAAACTCTAAAAAGGGAGGCAGGCATTATGTCTCTTTTATTTGCCAGACTGACCTGGCAGATATCCTCAATAAATATTAGTTGGATCAATTATGAGACTTTAAATACTTACACATGATCACCCCTAATTCCAAGTCTTTTATAATAGATTCTAAATGTGTCTTCAGGTTCAGTTTCTCCATTGAAATGGGCTTCTGAACAGGCCCTATGGTCCTGGCTTCTCACTTGCAGCACAGAGTGTAAATGAAGCTGAGGCTGTGGTTCTTGTCTTCAGGTCAGGCACACTTTGGAGTATCCATCCAGCCAAACCCTGTCTTCTGCCTGGCTTCTCTGTCCTTATGCACTTTGGCTCCCAAGAGCTATGGCTCCACAGATGACTCTGGTTATTGGGAATTTGTGGTCAGATGTGCTGCTAATGCTCACAGAAGTCATTCATGAGGAACCAATTTCATGAAAGCAGAGAGCACACCTGAGCAAAATCAGTGTAAGCTCAGCACAGTGCCAGGCACATAGGTAATGAGTTGGTTAATGAATCCATTTCTGGCTGCTACATCTGCTTTTTCTGGAAATATCTGCCATTCCTATGTTCTCACTCTTTTGGCCACCAGACTCTCGGTCTAGTCTTGATCTCCAAGCTCTGGAATGGGAGTTGTGATTCATATGATGGGCAGCGCATTTACATTTCAATAGAGATACTTCTAAGCCTCTTGCTTGGAGTTGGTTGATAAACTCACAGTAACATTTCCAGGAAAGGATAGTTACACATTTGGGGTTTGAGGAGATTTCTCAGGAGAGGATGGAATTAGGAACTCAAATCTGAAGGAGCATAGAAGATAGTTATTCTGGAAGGAAGTCAGTGTTCTTCATTCTTCCTCAATATTTCTGGTCAATTCAGTGATTTTTTTTTTTTTTTTAATTTTCTTTGAGGCAAGGCAGAAGGGATGCACTGCTGTTTAGATCACATTCTCATAGGCAAATAACCTTGGTGTGTCTGGTGATGTGGGTGGAGAGTGGGGTTTCTCCATCTGTTAGGCAGATACAAAGAAGCAGATTGCTGGAGGTGGGAAGGTGCTGGATCCCACCAGGAGACCCCACCATCCCAGACACCCTTCCTTGCCAAGGTCACCCAACCCAAACCTCTCGCTATAGAGAAACTATTACTTAAGGTTAAACCACATTTACTTTGCTGAATGCTTAATGAACTGAACTTTACTTCCAATAATCCTATTACTTTCCTACTACTATGCAAACTGTTTTGCTCATTTTCATCTTTTCTGACCTGGCTGGGAGGGGAGACAGGAAGGTCTCACTGCTTCTGCCAGGTGTGAAACGTGAAGGAATAAGCTTTAAAGCTTAGCACGTTAGTAGTTTGGGGAAAGGGTGCAAACCAGATGTAACATAGCTAGACTAAAGAAAAGTAACAGAAATCTCTCCTGCCTCCAGCTTATCGGTGGCTCAGAAGCAAGCTGGAGTTGTCTCCCCAGCAATCCCTCCCCTTTGAGGCACAGCCCAAGCCATGGACTTTTCTCCATCCAAATCCTCAGGATCCTACTGATTTTCTTGATCATCCCTACCTAGAACCTCTCTCCCTCTCTATTTGTTCCATATTACTCCATTCAACTCCTAAAACATAATTCTCATTTATTCCATATATTCTTGTGTAACCCTACGCAAAGGGAATGGGGATGTACTGGGAAAACTTTTAATATCAGAGAATACAAGAACGCTGGGGCCCAAGACATTTTCAGCTTAGCTTGAACCAGGAAAAAGAATGAGACAAGTAAGGTGAATCTCAGCTCTAAAGCTTCTTACCTTTTGAGGTATTTGCACAGAGGAATAAAGTGTATTTACTGGATTTTCCTCTGGAATAGTGTTCTATTAAAAAGAGAAAAAAAAAATCATAGGGTCACCTAGACAAGCCCAAAGAGACACCCAGAATCCAGAAGGGAAAGCAGAGCTAGGAGGAAGGGCAAGAAGGAAGAGAGGTTCTGGACCAGGAATGGGGAAGAGGGAGGAACTCTTGTTGGTGAGTGCAAGAAGCAATTGCCTGATTTTTAAACTGTGTTGTGTTTAAATAAATTTAAAAATGTATAAGATATAGAAGTCCCATGAGCTAGGAGCAGCCTAAGGTGATTGAAGGATAATTTGAAGTAATATTGCTAATGTTGCAAGTAAACTTTTCTATTAGCTTAAAGGGCCCTTGGAGCAAATATATGAGGACGACCGATGGGTCAAAACATAAAACTACAATGACAGCAATAGCAAAAACAACTTCCAGGCTGGAGAAAAGTATCCTGGGTCAGTGAAGTTTCTTCCTGAACACCCAGGACAGTCCTGTGGTCTCCTCTCCTGGGAGTGTGTCTTGAGCAGAGAAGAAGGAGGATGGTGATAAAGCAATCGGTTTTGACATAAGCCAGGCTGTGTGGAGCCCAGAGCAGTCTCTCCTGTGAGGCAGAAAGGAGCTCTCAGGACACTAACAGCTTCAAAAGAAAGTGTAACGTCTCCTCTCAGGAAAGTTGTAGGTAAACACAGGAAGATGCAACCTGAAACACCAAGGGCTGCCCTGAAGCTGGCATTCTGAAGCCCCAAAGTGCTTTTATTTCTTCACTAAATGGGCCAATGTGGAAAAGTGCTCTATGGCCTCTAAGGAGCTAGCCCAGCTGGGGCTACAGTGATTCCTGGCGGCCTTTCAAAGTTGTCTATCTAGGTCATGTCTCCAAATTGTCTTATTATTTGAGTTTCTTTAAACTTTATTCTTATCATCTTCTTTTCAAAGAGTTTCCTTTGAATTGACAATGTGTTTATTTACCTCAGCTTGGTGACGCATGCCTAGAAAGCCTTGCGTGTGGGCCTAGAGCCTTCTGAAAGTGTGGGCCCCTGAGCCTTCTGATGGAAAAGGCATCTCTATAGCCAGTGTTCTGACACCGTAACTCAAACATCAGGCCAAAGTCACACTTCCCTACCTGCTGTGCTTTGCAAAAAGAATTTGGCCAGTTGAGTGGCCCTTGTGAGCTGTAGAGGGAAGAGAGGATTCCATAGATCTCAGAGTGAGCATTACTGGCTGGGTCAGAACCAGGGGCTCAGAACCAGAGGTCACTGACTCCTGCATGAGAAAGTATTCATAAGGACTTAAGGAGACACAGGTGTGTTGGGTTTCAAGGGCTATACATCCTCATATTCCATGTTGCTCAAGTCCACAGAGAAATCTCAACTAAAGTAAGGAGGGCCTTAGAGAGGTCCCAGGAAAGATGGGAAAGGACTCACATTAACGCAGATGATTGTGTCATACACTGGAGTCTCTCCAGAAGGGGGGTAGTAGTTAAGAACTTCCTGATGAGTATCTATTCCCTTCTTCTCTTCAATGGACCCTGAAACCAAGGTGGGAGAGAATCAGAGCTGACCCTCCTTTGATTCACCACCCCCACCAGCCTACCCCCTGGAAGACCCACTTAGGGTGACCACCATGCTGGTTTCCCTACAACTGACCACCATGCTGGTTTCTGGGACATGGGACTTTCCGTGCTACACCCAGGGAAATCCCATAATGAACTGTTTACCCTGGTTTCTTCACTTCCCAATTTGTGGACCAAGGCAGCCAAAGGGGAAGAAGAGAGGGTGAGAAACACTTTCTTTCTTTTTTTTTTTTTAAAGATTTTATTTATTTATTTGAGAGAGAGAGAATGAGAGATAGAGAGCATGAGAGGGAAGAGGGTCAGAGGGAGAAGCAGACTCCCTGCTGAGCAGGGAGCCTGATGTGGGACTCGATCCCAGGACTCCAGGATCATGACCCGAGCCGAAGGCAGTCACTTAACCAACTGAGCCACCCAGGCGCCCCAGAAACACTTTCAGAGTGCTTTCAAGAGGGAGGAAAGATCTTAACACCTACAGTTTATACACAACTGATGCTTAGGTCCCTCCCCAACACTCCACATGGACAGTATCAGGGAAGCTGAGAAGAAAAAATCAGTAGGAGGGTTTAGGGATGCAGAGCATGGTGTTTGGCATGGAGAGAGACAGACATAGACTTCTCCAGGAAGAGTGTGTCTAGACTGAGATGGGGAGTAAAGAGAGGTCTCTGGAGTTGATCCAATGAGGAGGACTGGGTATGGTTTGGGGGCTCTAACCAGGGATAGGGATTGGAAGGGCTGACTGGAGTGTGTTGGTGTATGGGACCTCAGAGTTGGAAGCCATCGCCTCCCAGGTCTGAGGAACAGAGTCAGCAGTGTAAGGCTTGTGTCAGTAGGAGGACCACACCAGTAAGTCCCTCTTGGGGGAAAGAGAGGGGTGAGCACTGGAGAGGGAACTAGGAGGACTTTGGACTTAGAAGATAGGTTATGGACTCAAGCACTCTCTTACTCCAGAATTAAGGAGTGCAAGATGATTGTGTTCTCCTTGAGTACACAGAATATGGCCTCTTCATTTCTGTATCCTTAGGGCCTAGTACCAATTCCAGCACACAGTTCAACATATGTTTGTTGAAGAAATGAGGGAGCAAATGCATGAATGAGGCTGAAGGCAAAAATAGTGCATACTCTACCTTTTCTTCTTTCTCTTCGCATAATTAGAATAACTGGCACCAGGGCAAAGGCACTGAACAGGAAGAGCACCCACAGGACATACAGGACCATGGAGGATTCTGAGTCATCAGCAGCACCTTTAATGAGAGAATGGGTAGAGGCACAGGGAAGAGAGAAGAGTCAGCTAGGGAAAATGACCCAACTTGTGGAGCAACTGCCACCTTCCTCCCAGGCTGGTGACTTCCCAGGGGCCTCCAGTTTTCATGGGCTATTCCCATGGGGACCAGGAGCTGAAGAAGGTATAGGTCCTGAGACAGAGGCTTCTGGAGAGAGAGGAGAGACCATCACCTTCACAGAGCTTCCAGGCAAAGATGGGGTTTGAAGAATTGCTGCTGATGGGGTTCCTGGCCACACAGATGAAGGTCATGCCCTTTTTTCCCAGCCTCCAGGATATGGGGAGGATGGGGCCATTATGGGACTCATTGGCCTCCTGCCCCAGGGACTCCCAACTGTAGGTCACATCCTCTCCTCCCTGGTCCATGAAGCATGTCAAATTAGTCACACAGGTGCCATTCTCATTGTTCTGCAGACCCATGGTAACTTTGGGCTTTGACAGGTGCTCTGCAAAAGAAAAACAGACAACCAAGTGTGGAAACTATGCCTTTTCTGAATTATTCTTGTAAATCTTGGACCTGAATCTCTGGGGTGCTACAGAGTGGAGAGGAAGAAGCGATTCAGAGCAGAATTCTCATTCTTATCTGGGAAAGAGAACTGTCTAGGTTGGCTTTCCTAGTTATATAAAAACAACAGTAACAATAGAAATAATAATAATAATTCAACAAGAATGCAGCTGCCATTTTTGAAGCAAAGCTATATGGCCAGCCTTGTGCTAGATGCATTTTAGATGTGAGCTAATTTTATCTTTTTTAGAGGCTCCCTATTTCCTCTGTCTTCAGGCTTCCTTGAAGAGACTTTCACTTTACTCTCCAGGAGAGAATAGTATGGGAATAATATTTCTGGCCCCCCTCCTCTCTTTCTCATGCTCATTGTTCTCCCTGAGAGGATGAGCAATCAGTTCATTGATGAGATGGAAAGAGTCTGACATCCAACATCATTTCTTTATTACCTTTCTCTATTTTGAGCTGTTAAGATTGCTGTCTAAATGTGGTTTGCCCATCTCTCCCTCCCCCAGCTAGTTTGACTGCATACCCTCTGTTCCTTTCAACTATGTCTATATGGAGGACACACCTGGATCAAGGTACATGGCCTAACTCTTAAGGGCAAACCTGGAGGCCCATCTCTGGGTGTCCCTGATCCTACAGCTCAGTGAGTAAGGCAGCTATTCTTATAACTGGTTGAGCAATTGTTTTGTAAGTTCATCTTCCCTGAATGGGCTCCAAGGTCTAGACTTTGGGGGAAAACATTTCTCCTATCTAGCTTCACCAGAAAAAATAAAGCTGATATTTCTATCTTCCTTTTGATTCTTGTGTGGATTTTTCAATTGGTTGGAATCTGTAGGGAAAGAGGTATAATTGATGTTTATACACAATAATCTTTCTAAGATAGGTATCACCTTTCTCCCCATTACAGATATGGAAATGAAATTTCACAGAGCTTAATAACCTGGCTAAGGCCATGCAGTTAGTAGGTAGAGAAGCCAGAATTTGACTTGTGTGATCACTGCTTCCCCTATCACCCATCCTCTACACTACATTGCCTCTTGCAGAATCTTTGAGTAGGAAGGGGCCTGAGGGGTGAGCTACATTTACTTCATCCATGCAGGAGTTCCCTCTTCCTCATTCTTGCCAAATGTGTATCCAACCTTTGCTTGAACATCTCCAATATCAGAGAGTTTACCACTTTGTGAAGGCAGTCATCCACCTTTGGAACTAATTCTGCTCACCATAGACACGCAGCCCATACTGCTGGATGAAGGGGTTTTTGAGGGAAGAACTGTATATCACCACGCGGTAATCACCCGAGTCACTCTTATCCAGTTTGCTGAGCTTCAGGGAATAGTTTCCATGTAGGAAGTCCAGCCTTTCCTTGTTATGACTCTGGGTCACTATGACATTGGCTTGTTTGTCTGGTGTTTTTGGCTCTATGGTGATGAGAGGGGTTGTGTTGAAGATCCAGACAAGGCTGTCAATCTGAATTCCTGGGAGCTTCAGAGGGAAAGTCACAGACCCACCAAGGTCACCAACCAGTTCTTTTGGAGCTCCAGAGGTTGCTGGCCCTGCAGACACAGAGAACCATAAAATAAACCTAAGTCCCTGCCCTTGCCACCAACTACTCACCTGTTTTGGGTCCTGGGAAGGTCCCAAGAAACCCTCTGGGGCCAACCCAACCAGCCCCTGGGAAGTCCTTTGAAACCTCACTCAAACAAAGGCATTGAGGTCAGAATGCTTTGCCTGAAAGGAGGGACTGCAGGTGAACCCACCCCTTCCCAGAGACCTCAGGCTGGAAAGACCATGCTCTGTGGTAGGTCATGAGGCCCAGCTCCATCTTGGACAAGTTCCTGTTAGGGGACAAGTGGGGAGGTTACTGTCCAGTCCTCCCTTTGGACTCCCAGATTGCTCCTGGAGAGCTGACTCTGATGCAGATGCAGAAGCAGCAGCTTGCCTGGCGTAGGGGCAGTGGTTCTCAAGAAGAGATCAGGACACTGGGAAGGGAACTCTAAGTTCTTAATGATAACAATAGCTGGGAAGCTTGCGGGTGTTTCATCTTCTGTTTTATGGTAGATTAGAGTGTGAAATCATCCCCGAGTGAGGTTCTCATTCACTTTAATTTCAGTGTCCTTCCTTGAGTGGAAAGGCAAAAGAGCACTGGACGCTCTGCAGTATGCCTAGACTGACTCGTGATGCTCACCCCCAACTATTAGGAGTTGTAGTAGGGGTTCACTGCCCCAAGAAGTTTTTGTTTCACCGCAATCTTAGTTCACCTTAAAAAGTATGACTTATAAACAACCACCACTGGTTATGTGGTTCCAGGTGGAAAACAGTTAAGAACGGCTATGAAAAAGCTTCCAGAAGTGGCCCACAGAGCATTTCCAGTGAGCAAGTGTGGGGAATGAGTCTTCTACCTGTTAAGATCTGAGGGACAGACTCGGGATAGCACAGAGCAGAAAGGAAATTTAGAAGTACACAGTCAGTAAGAGGCAGAGCCCACATCAGTACCCACAGGATCAAGGCCCCAACCATCATTGCTTACAAATGAGAAAAACAAACAACAGAGATTGAGAAAAAGTATTCAAGGATCACAAATAGTGGCAAAACTAAAACCAGAACCCAAGTCTTCTTAAAGGTGTTCTCCATACAAGTACAAAACCCAGTTTTTTTCCCTTCTACCTCTTAACATAATGCATAATGCTGAAATGTCTAAGAGAAGTTTTAATAATTCCATCAGGGAAAGCACAAAAAAGAAGAAACAAGGAAAATCTTTTTAAGTCATTTCTACACCCAACATAGGGCTCAAACTCACAACCCTGAGATCAAGAGTCACATGCTCACCCGACAGAGCCAGCCAGGTGCCCCAGGAAAATCTTTTTAAACTCTAACAAAGCAACAAGCTATAGGCTCCTGACAGTTGTATTATAATGAGGCAGCTGCTGGGCTGCACTATGACTTTTGTAGGCTGTATTCACTTTTGCCTTGGTCCTTCATCCATAAAAAATATTAAAAACTATATTTTATGACTGCATTGGTAAAAAAATGAATGTAATGCCAGCTGCATTCATTATTACATATTAATTATTATTATTATATTTATTTTTCTTCTGATTCTGAAAGAAATTTGAACTATTGGGGGCCCCGGACATTGTGTCTAATTGGCTCTGTGCGGCTGACCAAGCATCCAGGTTCTCTTTCATGTCAAAGCTTGATTTGTTATCATATTTTTTTTAATTGAAATATAGTTAACATACAATAATTATATTAGTTTTAGGTGTACAACATAGTAGTTCAACAATTCTATACATTATGCAGTGTTCACCATGAGGAGTGTAGCCACCATACTAAGTTATTACAACATTATTGACTCTATTCCCCGTGCTGTGCTTTTCATCTCTGTGACTTATTTATCTCATAGCTGGAGGTTTGTACCTCTTCAACCTCTTCACCTATTTCACTCATCCCCTCACCCCTTCTTCCGTCTGGCAACCACCAGTTTGTTTTCGGTATTTAAGAGTCTGTTTCTGTTTTTGTTTCTTTGTTTTAGATTCCACATATGAATAAAATCGTATGGTATTTGTCTTTCTCTGCCTGACTTATTTCACTTAGCATAATACCCCCTGGGTCCATCCATGTTGTTGGAAATGGCAAGATTTCATTCCTTGTGATGGCTGAGTAATATTCCATTGTGTATATACACCACATCTTCTTTATCCCTTCATCTATTGAGAGACATGTGGGCTGCTTCCAAATATTGGCTATTATAAATAATGCTGCAATAAACACAGGGGTGCATATATCTTTTTGAATTACTGTCTTTGTTTACTTTGGGTAAATATCCAGTGGTGGAAATACTGGATCATAGGGTATTTCTATTTTTAACTTTTTGAGAAGACTGTGTGCTGTTTTCCACAGTGGCTACACCAATTTACATTCCCACCAACAGTGTGCTAGGATTGCCTTTTCTCCGTACCCTTGTCAACACTTGTTATAGTCTTTTTGATATTAACCATTCTGACTGGTATGAGTGGATATCTCATTGTGGTTGATTTGCATTTCCCTGATAATGAGTGATGTTGAGCATCTTTTCATGTGTTTGTTGATCATCTGTATGTCTTCTTTGGAAAAGTGTCTCTGGTTCTCTGTCCAGTTTTAATTGGATTATTTGGGTTTTTTGGTGTTGAGTCTTACCATCATATTTTCTATCACCCTGGCACTGATGCAACTCATTCCCCTTCTAGCAAGAGACAAATTCCTGTACTGGCTTACCCAGATATCTAAAATTGCTTCACTAGAGATTTATTTCTATAGTCCCTGTTAAAACTCAACTACTCTGGGGCACCTGGGTGGCTCAGTCGTTAAGTGTCTGCCTTTGGCTCAGGTCATAATCCCAGGGTCCTGGGATTGAGCCCCACATCAGACTCCCTGCTCCATGGGAAGCCTGCTTCTCCTCCCACTCCCCCTGCTTGTTTTCCCTCTCTCACTGTGTCTCTCTCTGTCAAATAAATAAATAAAATCTTTAAAAAAACCCCCAAAACTCAACTACTCCAGAAATAGTTCCCAATATAGTTACTATGCATTAGGGTTGATTCTGTGCCAAACATTTATTGTAAAGATTATGCCTAATACCTAAAGCAATCCTGAAAACTAGGAATTTTGATTCTTTTACACAGGGATCAGCAACCTATATAGTCCATGGGCCAAATGTGGCCTGCTGCCTATTTTGGTAAATCAAATTTTATTTGGACACTGCCAGCCATGTTCTTTTTTTATTTTTTATTTTTAAGATTTTATTTATTTATTTATTTTAGAAAGAGCAAGAGAGCTGGGATAGGGAGGAACAGAGGGGGAGGGAGAGGGACAAGCAGACTCCGTGCTGAGTGCAGAGCCTGTTGCGGGGCTCTATCCCATAATGACCTGAGCTGAAACCAAGAATAGAATGCCCAACCAACTGAGCCAGCCAGGTGCCCCAGGACACAGCCATGTTCTTTCATTTACATATTATCTATTGATGCTTTTCCACTACAAATGCTGAGTTGAGTAGTTGCAACAGAGATTATATTGCCTGCAAAGACTGAAACATTTACTATTTGACCCTTTACAGCAAAAGTTTGTTAACTCCTGATTTGATGAGAAAACTGAGATTCAAAAAAACCTAAATAACTTGTCCAAAGGCACAAAGTTAGTAAGTGATGATTTGAGGATTTAACTCAATGTCACTCTCTCTCCGGAGCCTGGGGTCTTTCCACTATGGCTCAATTTGAAGGCCCTGGAGCCTTGTGCTGGCTCCAGCCCTCTCCCTCACTCCCTTTCAGCAGTGAGGGCTCAGGTGTCAATCCTGAAGCCCTTGTGTCTCACAGAATCCAATTTCCTCTTCATGTCCTTTGGTGACCTTTTTCTTTCTTTCTTCCTTCCTTTCTTCCTTCCTTTCTTTCTTTCTTTCTTTCTTTCTTTCTTTCTTTCTTTCTTTCTTTCTTTCTTTCTTTTCTTTCTTTCTTTCTTTCTTTCTTTCTTTCTTTCTTTCTTTCTTTCTTTCTTCCTTTCTTCCTTTCTTCCTTTCTTCCTTCCTTCCTTCCTTCCTTCCTTCCTTTCTTCTTTCTTTCTTTCTTTTTTAAAGATTTTATTTATTTATTTGATATATAGAGAGAGAGCACAAGTAGGCAGAGAGGCAGACAGAGGGGCAGGCAGAGGCAGAGGAAGAAGCAGGCTCCCAGCTGAGCAGAGAGCCCGATTTGGGGCTCGATCCCAGGACCCTGGGATCATGACCTGAGCTGAAGGCAGATGCTTCACTGACTGAGCCATCCAGGAACCCGGAGATGACCTTCTTTTAAGCACAAGCTGCTCTACCAGTGCTCCAGAGAAAGGGAATTCTGATGTTATCAAATGTTGACCTGGTCCCTTGATTACAGTTTTGGGATTTTTTTTTAATTTAAAGATTTTTATCTATTTATTTGAAAGAGAGAGTGCACATGCATGAGCGGGGGAAGGGGCAGAGGGAGAAGCAGGCTCCCGGCTGAGCAGGGAGCCAGATGCAGGGCTTGATCCCAGGACTCCACAGTCAAAACCAAGCCAAGTGTAGCTACTTAACTGAGCAACCTGGGCGCCCCTACAGTTTTGGGATCTTAACTAACTTTTTTTGCTAAATTTGTCTCCAAAAGTACTGGCTTCTCCCCCTGGGTAAATGTCTTTTTGGGGGGCTGATTCCTGTTTTCGAACATTTCTGCCTCCTCACCCCCATCAATCAGTGCATATATATTTTGGATCCCTCAAGTCTTTATTAAATCATTCTGTTAAGTAATCTGATTTTTCAAAAAGTTGCTCCCCTGCATCCCTAAATACTAAAGCAGGATGGTTTCCAGTTGCTCTTTGACAATTTCAACGGTGTCAAAACAGTCCCAGTGCATGCTACAAAGTCAGTGTCAGTTTGAATTTTTGACTGATCATCTAATGTTTGCATCCTTTTACTTCAACAATAAGGTGAATATTTTGTAGTCAAATAAAGATTGGTTATTACTTGGCTCCAAATAGGTGCAACCCTGGATTTTCACACAAGGTTTGGGGGAGGTGTTTAAATTGGGGAGGTGGCAAACTGCAAGGATATGACTTTAGTACTATAGCATGTGTGCACACATTTAGACATGGGTAATCATTCTTTTCACTTCTGCAGACATGTGGTGCTATATTCTCTGGGTGAATGCCAAGACAGGTGAATTTTGTGTGAGGATATTAAAAAATGTCTCCAAATTCATTGCTTCTTGTTAGGATGAAAGTGGAAGACGACACAGTGCAAATTGTCAACACAAGCCTAGAGGGAGTATATTGTTTCTATCTTAATTATATCTATAGGATGAATAGAGGGGTCATGAAAGAAGAAAGTAGCTCCATGCCATTCCTCAAGTGTGAGTTCAGACGATAAGGGGTGGAGTTAATGAGTCCTAGCCAGTTTTGTTTCCTCTTCTGTGGAAAGAGTTTCCTATAGTTGACTGTGAAAAGGGATCCAGAAACAAGAGACTTCTCTCAGGCATCCAAGGCTGACCTGAAGTTCCGCATTCTGTGATGGCTTTTCCACCTGCAGCATTCTTATCGAGTTTTACCTTGCCTATGTAGGTCATGTTTTCTTAATTCAGTCATTCTTTCCTCTAGCAAGAATTTATTTAGTTCCATATTTGTGCCACGCACTGTCTAGGAGCTGAGGATATAACTAAGGAGGGATACAATCCTGACTCTTGTACTCATGGAGTTAGGAGATAGCCATTAAATAAGTGGCTGTATGTGTTATGAAAGGGGATGTAGTAGGCACTTGGGGAACCTACAATACCGAGATTGAATGTGATCTGTAAGATTGAAAGACTCTAGAGAATGAGTGGCTACTAACACCTACCTACAAGGCCTAGGAGGATTGGACCCCATGAAACTCATCTACCTTCCCACCTAGATCGGTGTAGTGAATGTCCTAACTTGCCTTTTCTGCATCCACTTCATCCTTTCCTCATTTTATAGCAGCCAAGTGTGTCAGGTAAGACTGACAGGAACCCAGTTCAAGTGGTAGCCTTCCTCATGGTAATTAGTTCAGCAGTATCACATGACCTGGGTTGACTTATCTGGGAAACCCCAGTGTTTTGCTCCAAGGGCAAGATGACCATATGATGCTGTGGGAAGATATGAAGCTGGGGACCACTTGCTATCACCAAACAAGCAACCAGGTCTCCTCCCTTACCTGACCCCCAGTTTCCTTTGTACCTCACATTTTTGTTTGTGCTTTATCCTTCTCTCTGCCCATCCAAATCATATTCAAGATCCATAAAACCTAGGTCAAAGCCCTTCCCTGAAAAGTCTCCACCTCTTTCACCACACCTACCCCCTGAAATTCCACCACAAATGTCACTTTTTTTTCCACTTTAAATTCCCCAAAAGGAGTTATTCTCCTGGGTGATGATTGGACATACCATTTGTAGACCAGTAATTGGTCTACAGGCATTAGGTTCCAGATTACCTGGTGGTAGGCTCTGGGGTTGCACCCAGGGAGGGGCGGGGATGGCCTCTCCTGCCAGGCAGCATGGAACAGTGTAAAGAGGTAGTGCTCTGGCCTAACTGGGAGTCAGAAGACCTGGGTTCATTCTGGTTCCTCCGTAATAAGCAACAAACACTTGGTATCACTCCTTAGCTCATAAACTGGTTTAATGGGCATCATGTTTTTATCCTCAAAGTAACTCCATGAGATAGAGGTTAATTAAACTCCATTTTATGGTTGAGGACACTGGGGCTCCAGTGTCCTCCCAGAGATGCTGAATGATTTCCCCAAAGTCCCAAATTGGGAAGTGGTAGATGGGGGATGAGAAGCTGGTTGGTTCTTTTGTGTTGGAGGCCTGCATTCTTTCTACTACTGCCTTGCTATTTACCACTTTGAGTTATAGTGTTGAGTTGAGGGAGAGTCTCAACTCTCAAAGAGAAAAATAACCTTTATTTGCCAGGACTTGGGGTGGATGAAAGGTGAATACAGATTTGAAAGCATTTTGAGAAGTACAGAGCCTTCTACCACACAGTAGGAGGTGGGAGGGAAGGGCGAGGAGCCGTGTTATGAAACAGGCCTTGAGAAGGCTTCTCATTTTTAATTCTCATTTCCTCAAGGATGGCTAGAAGTGAGAAGCAGATTTCCCAAAACTTCTGTGGATGGCTTCTCAGCAGGATGAGCTTTTCGGAAGGTGGTCTGGAACCTAATGCCTATAGACCATTCACTGGCTAATTCACAGCAAAACACTATGTCCAGTTACCATGCATGGTGAGATCTCCTGCAGCAAGCATTCCCTGCCAACTTGCCTTTGGAGGTGGAGGGTGCTGGAGCAGGAGACCCTCTGTCTTCTGTCCTGGCCAAGACTCAGATATTTTGGAATCAAAAGAGTCAGCCCTAAGATGCCCTTCATAACAGGAAGGTAAACAGCTCCTCCCCTTTGCCACCTCCTTTTCCTCTGGGTTATCACCTCCTCCCTTTCACCTGCTCCCCCCACAAGACTCAAGAGTTGAGTGGAAGGAAGGAGCTATATTAAGAGGAAGGGACATCATCAGTACAGCCAGAATTAAGGGATGGTACCAAGGAGGAAGATTTCAAGGTAGGGGAGGATGTAAAGCTCACCTCCTGCTTGCTGGCGTGGTCCCCAAGCATCTTTCCCAGGATGCAGTGCCTCCATTAGAATGTACCAGCATATCATGGCATCCTCTTCATGGAATCCAGAGCATCTTAGAGCTGGGAGAGGTCTTAGGGACTACTTAGTCCCATCCCACTTCACAGATCAGGAGACTGATGCTCCAAAGGTCATGGTGACATGCTCTAAGTCAGTGGAGCCAGGACTCCTAAGGCAGGTCTTCCCAAGCTATGCCCCCAACACCCCTGAGATCTGTAGCATTGCCTCAGTGTGTTTCTGAAGGCTTAAGAGGGAGTAGGGGGAGATGAGTGAGGGGCAGAGCAGTAGGGAACTTGAATGTGAATGTGGCGGGTTAGGGCTGGAGTGTTGGCAAAGGCGTGTGGCATATTGGGAGGTTTGCAAACCTCTGTTCCATGTGTATCAGTCTTGGCACTGATTTAAAATTCTCTTTCTGTGGTACATTAGTTAAGGGGAAGTTGGGTAAGGAGCAGTAGTTTCCAAAATTGGTTTTTTCTTTCTTAAGCAGGAGTTTGCTTTTATGAAACGAAATCTTATGCAGAATCAAACATGTAAATTACTGTATAGAGTCAAAGCCTCCCTGATGGAAGAGGAGTCCCCTAGCCTTCGCCCCATCACCCCTCCCCATCTCTCACCCCCTATACTTTCTTTAAGCTCTTCAGAAACACAGTAGAGACACAATAAAGAAAAGATAAAGAACAATTGTGGACTCCTTTCAGGCATGGGCAATGTACCACACAGGCTGTCCACAGCCTCCTGGAGCAGGGCATACACACGTACCCTGCTGCTCACAGTTCAGGTTTCAGATGGACACCTGGGGTTTTGAAAAGCTCTGCTGTGTGCTCCCCCACTTCACCTCCAAGTTCCACTTCTGATCACTATTTCTATTCAGGGAGTGGTTTTTAAAGTGAAAACCTATTCTAGAACCACCTGCTTAGAACCAGGTGCTTCCTAAATATGCAAAATTCTAGTGAACTTGAGGAAGGCAACAGTCTGCTGAACACTTAATGAGGCCAGGTGGTGGGGAGGAAAGGATTGGGAGCACTGACTATGGGGTCTTGGGCAGGTCACTTCAGGCAGGCTGGGGCACATATAAACATACCAGCCAAGTCCTCAGAGGGAGACTTCATGGTGGTACCCCATGAGTTTGATGACCAGAGAGGTATTTCTAACTTATGGGGCTCCAGGTCCTTTCTGAGAGCCCCAAGGATAGTAAAATCTTCAAAGACCAGAACCCTTGTGACAGGAACAGAAAAGTCCTCAGTCCTTCATGCTATTAGACATAAAGTACCTACAATGTGAGCTGGTTTTCTAAGTAGAGACTGATTGAATTGTTCAGTTAAGAGAGAAAATTCAAATGTTCCCTTCTACTAATATCATTGTCATGCATAACCATTTAAAATATTTTTCTAAATATTTTCTAGTACACTTCTAAACATATAAATATGTTTAAGTAGAAATATTTAAAATGTATATTTATAAATAAATAAATATACACCCATATGATCTCATTTTGATCTTAAAGTTGCCCTCAAAGGGAAGGAGGGCTAAGTCCTGGGGAAGATAAAATTCTTTATTTAATTCATGACAGAATCTGGATTAGAACACATGTCATTCTACTACCCAACACCCCTTCTTTCAGCCCTTCCTTCCCTGGGACAGTCAGAAGGGGAGGCTGTCCCCAGATTCATTCTTTCTCCTCTCCTTCAGTTTCTTCCTGTCCTCTGAGTTAGAAATCACAGATTACACAAATATATTAAATGAAGTAGCAGAGCTTCCTGAGTTGGGCCAGAGTCCCAGAGTGGACCCAGAAGACTAGAGGTATACCTCAGGATGGAGAAGGCAGTCAGGAGAACAGGAGAATCTGGACTCACCTGTGAGCTGGCAGAGAAGGATGAGGATGAAGCATGCTGGGGGACCAAGCATGTTGTTCTCCAGATGTCAGTCACTAATATGAACTACTTCCTTCTCTCAGTACTCACATCTCTTCCCCAGCTAGCATTTGTAAAAGTAGGAGGGGTCATGAAATGAAAAGTGAGAATGAACTGTCTATAATTGTTTCCAATCTCACTTGTTATTTGTAGGTGATCAATAAAGGATGGAAAAAATGAATTGAATCCCAAAGGTGATGAAGCCCCCCATTTTACAGATAAGGAAACATTGGCTCAGAGATGCTAGGAATTGATCAAGGCCCTATGGTCAGTCTTTTCTGCTACGTTATATGACCTCTCAGATACTCAGAACACAGGAAATGGAAAGAAATTGAAGATTAGAAGGAGGAAAAAAGGGTGGCACTAGGGATAATAATATTTACTGAGTTTTGCTAAGTGGCAGGAGTACATGCATTCTTTTATTTGTTCCTCTTAACAAAGGAGATACTACCATATTTGTGAGATACTACCATAATTCTTGTTTTCCAGATGAGAAAATGAAGGCTTAGAGTATATTACAGCAAAATTAAAAGTTATTTTAATTAAAAAAAAACAGTATGAGAGGCAAAGAGTCAAGCCAATTAGTGGGAAATGATATTTATTCCAAAACATTTATTCCACAAGAGTCATATCCATAATACATAAAGAAGTCTTACATATCAATAAGAATTAGGCAGACAACCCAATGGACAAGAGACTGAAATAGGTACTTCATAAAAAAAGATATCCAAATGGCAAATAAAGAGAAATCACTAAGAAAATGATGTCAATAGGAATAGCTAAAAGGTCAATCGAGGCACTAAAATGAATTCTAAAAAAAATTCTAAAAATAATTTTTAAGAAGAAAAGAAAGGAGAAACGGTGACACCAAAAAAAAAGAGTAAGCAGAAAACATAATAAAATGGCATATCTAAATTCAACTATATCAGTAATTACACTAAGCATAAGTAGACTAAACACTCCAATTAAAAAGCAAAGATTTTTAAATGAATAAGAAGACAAAACCAAATTAATGCTGTCTACAAGAGGTGAGCTTACAAATAAAGACACAGTTGGGCTGAAAGTAAATGGATGGATACAGACATATCATTCAGCCACTAGGCATAAGAAGGCTAGCCTAGCTCTATTGATATCAGATGAAGTAGACTGTAGGATAAAATGATAAAGATGGGCATTTCATAATGACAAAGGATCAATTTATTAGGAAGACATAACAATCATAAATGTGTATCACTAGTCATCACAGATCTTCAAAATACAAAAAGCAAAAAATTTCTCTGGGATAAATGCCCAGGAATATGACTGCTGGGTCATATGGTAAATGTATGTTTAATTTCTTAAGAAACTGTCAAAATATTTTCTAGAGTTGTAACATTTTACATTCCCACTAGTACTTTGTTACAGATTCAATTCTTCTATATCCTCATCAGCATTTGGTTTTGTTATTATATTTTATTTTCATAGTTTTAATAGGTGTGTAGTAATATCTTATCATGTTTTAATTTGCATTTCCTAAAAGCTAATGATGATGAACACTTTTTCACGTGCTTATTTGCATTCACATATCCTCGTGAAACATCTATTCATGTCTTTTGTCTGTTACATAATCAGATTCTTTGTTTTTTTTTTACTGTTGAGTTTTGAGAGTTCTTTATATATTCTAGATACAGTCCTTTGTTAGGTAAGTTGTTTGCAAATATTTTCTCTTTGTCTGTAATGTCTTTTTTTGTCTTCTTTTTTTCTTTTTTTAAAGATCTTATTTATTTATTTGACAGAGAGATGAGAGCACAAGTAGGCAGAGTGGCAGGCAGAGGGAGAGGGAGAAGCAGACTCCCCACTGAGCAGGGAGCTGGACGTGGGACTTGATCCCAGGACCGTGGGATCATGACCTGAGCCGAAGCCAGACACCCAACTGACTGAGCCACCCAACCGACTGAGCCACCCAGGCGCCCCCTTTTTTCGTCTTAATAGGGTCTTTTGCAGAGTAAGATTTTAAATTTTGGTCAAGTTCAATTATCAATTTGTTTTTTTTTATATGGATTGTGCTTTTGGTGTCATGTCTAAACACATTTAACTAGTCCTAGGTTTCACAGGTTTTCTCCTACATTTTTTTCTAAAAATTTTATGGCTTTATACTTTATGTTGAAATCTCTGATCCATTTTGAGTTAATTTTTGTGTGATGTGTGAAGTTTAGGTTGAGGTTCATTTTTTGCCTGCAGATGTCCAAATGTTCCAGCACTACATGTTGAAAAGATTATCCTTCTTATATTTAACTGATTTTGCAATTTACTCAAAAATCATTTGGCCATACTTGCATGGGTATATCCTGGGGTTATCTATTAATTTACATGATGTAATTATTGATATATTAGGGCTTAAGTCTGACATTTTATTATTTCTTTGTTTCTTCTTTGCTATTATTGTTGTTGTTCTTCTGTTTTACTTTCCTAATCATTCTGTGGGCTACTTGAATATTTTTTTATAATTCCATTTTGATTTATCTATATCTTGAGTGTATCTGTTTGAACAGGTTTTTTTTTGTTTTGTTTTGTTTTGTTTTTAGAGAAAGAGAGAGCAAGGAGGGGAGGGGCAGAAGGAGAGGGAGAGAGAATCCCAAGCAGGCTCCACTCCCAGTGTGGAGCCCAATGGGGCTTGATCCCGTAACACTTAGATCATGACCTGAACCAAAATCAAGAGTTGGATGCTTAACCAACTGAGCTACCCAGATGCCCCTTTTTGAACAGATTTTTAAATGGCTGCTCTATGCATTATATTATACATATATAAATTATGGTCTACTGGTGTTCACATTTTACCAGTTCAACTGAAGGGGAAAACCTTACCTGTACTAGATTCCTTTACTATAGTTTCTTAATAACTTATCTTAAATATATCTTCTATATACATTGAGACCCATGTAAGGTAATGTTATAGTTTTTGCTTCAATTGTCAAATATAATTTAGAAAACTCAAGAGGAGAAGGATAGTTCATTATATTTATCCATATTTTTACTCTTTCCATTGCTCTTTCTTCATTCTTAATGTTCCAAGTTTCCTTCTTTCATCATCTCTTTCTATTACAATATACTTCTTTGACCATTCTTTTAGGATAGGTCTGCTAGTGATAAATTCTGTTAGTTCTCCTTCACCAGAGAATGTCTTGATTTCACCTTCCTTTCCTGGTTAAATTCTAGGTTGGCAGTTCTTTCCTTTAACATTTGAAAAATGTTATACCTCTCTTCCTGACCTCAATGGTTTCTGATGAGAAATCTGCAGTAATTCAAATTGTTTCCCCCTGTAGCCAATGTATTGTTTTTCTCTAGCTGTTTTCAAGATTTTTTTTTCTTTGTTAGTTTTCAGCTGATTGATTACAGTGTGTCTTGGTATGTATTTCTTTGAATTTCTCTTGTTTGCAGTTCATTCAGTTTCTTGAATGTGTAAGTTTATGCCTTTTGTCAAGTTTGGGGAAATTTCAATACTTCTTTAAATACTGTTTTTTGGTTCCACATTTTTATTTTTTCTCCTCTCCTTCTGGGACTCTGATGACATAAGTGTTAGACTTTTTGTTATTACCCTATAGAGCTCTGAATCTTTAATTTTTTTTTCAGTCTATTTTCTCTCTGTTTCAGATTGGGCATTTTCTATTTTCAAGTACACTGATTGTTTCTTTTATCATCTCTGTTTTGCCCATCAGGTGAGTTTTACATTTCAGTTATTGCATTATTCATTTCTAAAATTTCCCTTTGGCTCTTTATATCTTCTATTCTTTTGCTAAGACTTTCTCATGCTTTCATTTTTTGTGTTTCCAGTGCGTTCACAGTTACCTGTTGAAGCATTTTCATAATGGTTGCTTTAAAAATTTTTGTCAGATAATTCTGACATCTGTCATATTGATTTTGGTGCCTATTGATTGCTTTTTTTTTTTCATTCACGCTGATATTTTTCTGGCTCTTGGTATGATGAGTGATTTTTGACACTGTGGTTGTGGGGAGGGTGAACTTGTTGCCACTGTGTGCTTGTGAAAATCCACTAGTCCTTCCTCAACACCACCCCAAGCAAGAAGGAGTAGTAACTCATCATTTCATGGTGGAGGTGGAAATTCAGTCTCCCCACTCAGCCTCTTCCAATGTGACTCCAGTGGGGAGGGGGAGGGATTCTCCCTTACTGACGAGGGAGAGTGGAGGTCTAGTTTTGCCACTTGGCCTTTGCTGATAGAAAGGGGTCCTACATTTTTCCAGTGTTATTTGGCTGGAAGAGTGTGGTTATTTTCTAAATGCTTCTGTCTTGCTAGGCTGCATATTTTCAAGTTCTTTGCCAAGAGAAAGTAGATTTTTCTTGGGATTGGCATTTCTGGGTTACTGTCTTGTCTAACACACAACCCAGGATATATAGGTGACAAAAAGAAAACCCAAGGAACTAACTGCTATGTCATTCCTTGGATCTAGAGGTCCCCAGTTGGCCTTTTTTCTCTTCAGCTTTTAGAATTATCTTGTGGTTGTGTTTTATATATAATGTCCAGTATTTTTAACTATACTTAGTGGGAAAAATAAAGAGAAATGCGTCTACTTCATCTTTTCTGGAATGAGGAGTGTGATCATGTGTTTTTATATCTTTTCTCTCTTCTGACTCCATTGAAATAATGGTGAAATCCTTAAAAGGGATTTTTTGTTAATTGGTGGAATGAATCCAACAGAGATAACATTTTTTATCTAACTTGAAAAACACAGTAACGATAGATGAAACATTTTCAAATGTATTAAAGTCTATAGCCTTGCTGAAAATTAAGATAACAATTTCTGTGAATGCGAAACGGTGCAGAAACCCACAATACATGAGGAGAAGGGAGTGTATATGTATCTAAAAGGAACCTTGATACCAAAATCATACAAAAACAGGAAAAGAAAATTATAGACCAGTATCACTTATGAGCATAGTTGCAAAGATCCTAAATGAAACATTAACAAATCAAATCCAGTGGTGTGTTAAAAATACATCA